CGGTGAATAGTAGAGATGAAAGGATTGGAAACAGATGAAAATGCTGGGTAGTAGTCAGGAGAAGAGCTGGGTAACACAGTAAGTTGACAGCCCATAAGGTGAATGAAGTGGGTGGTAGCGTGCAACAAAGCGGCGCCAAGCTTGGCAGGTGTCTCCGTACCGTACCTCGGGTTGTCGTCCTCGGAAGGTACAATACATACGTAGGTAAGGTAGGTAAAGCAACTTAGTAGTTATACGGATCCCTGCTTACTATTGAATCACAGCACGTCGATTGTGGGATTTCCGAATCAATGCGGATCATGGCTTACAGCTTTCTCCAAATTCATAATACTAACCTGGGGACCTATTTGCGAATAGGCTTAGTCACCATTCGATCCCATTGTATGTATTCCTTTGAGCGGTGCAGACGCGACATAGTATTCGAGTATAGTGTAGTGCTAATATCAGCTAGACATCCCAGTGCTTACTCTGACATCATGGTGCCACATGCATATCAATCGGTCTGTACTGTGTGCATCGTACCATCGAGCAGCCGACATGGGAAGGCGGACCGACAACAGCCCGTACCTATGCAAACTCCTTATGTAATTTTACATTCGTATAAGTTACCATATATTACAATGCTCAGCACACTAAGGCGTATTCGATACGCGTGCCCCGACTGTAATGAAGAGTATTGACCAGTAGGACAACTCAGTCACTGGTACTGCGGGTCCCCCACAGAGAAAATTTTCCTTAACCTAGCCGATGTAGTTCCAAACTGGAAGTCCAAAAAATAGCTCGACTTTTCTCTCCCTCATAAATACCGAGTTTTGATTTTGCTTGCTCACTTCTTCCGCCTCCATCCTTCACTCTTGCAAGTTCAATCTAGCGATAGAATCGCAGTTTGGTCATAAGGACTATGACAGGGGCAATATGCTCTAAACTTGATGACCTCCCAATACAGGATGGCATTGTCATAACAGATCAGGAGATAGAACAGCTTCTCCTTCAAGCTGAAGACCGACTCCAGGGTTGCGATGTCGAAAGATCCAAAGAATCTAACCAAACACAGGGTACAGACTCACTCCCTGAGCAACATTCGATTCGGTATGTCTGGCGGCGGCATCTGCTCCGAGGCATCATCTGCCTTGCTATCAAAGCTAATTCTGTACTCATCAGGATACCAAAATTATCTGGCAGTACAGCCCTTGAGCCGTATCTCCATCCCAAAGATGATGTGGCATTGGTAGATACTGCCAGATTGCTGCCTCAACAAGAATACAATGATATTCATACTAGAAGGCCGAGCGGGGCTATCCAAGATTCAAAGCGCTCGAAGGTAAGAATTGCAATCTCTTTTATTGCCTATCTCTGTCTTTCTGTCTTTCAACCCATCTGCAATGAGGAAAACATCTCGCGTAAGCGCTTGATACAGCTTATCATCCCGTACTGGGCTGCGCTGTGCCAATGAAAGTTTTTTATTGTTTCATAGTTACTCTGAGCAAATCTCTATTCTCAACCTCGATATTTTACCGCAAGAAAAGGTTCAAAGGCTAATTGTATCGATTTCCAGATGAAACCTACGGCTGGTAGCGACTGGTTTGACCTGCCCAAAACTGAACTGACGGCAGAGTTGAGACGAGACCTACAGCTTCTTCGAATGCGCTCAGTCTTGGATCCTAAGAGGCATTATAAGAAGGAAAACAGTAAAGCGCAGCCCCCAGCTTATTCTCAAATCGGCACAATTATTGAAGGTCCAACGGAGTTCTTCAGTGGTCGCATCGCGAAAAAGGACCGTAAGAAGACATTCGTCGACGAAGCATTGGCACTGGAGAAGGAGACCAAACGCTTTGAGACCAAGTACAGGGACATCCAGGCCACCAAACAAAGTGGTAAAAAGGCCTACTACAAAAATCTACGCTCTAGAAGAAATGCCAGAGGGAAGTAGACTAGCTCGAAGGTTCAGTGGGGGTTCATTCTCATCTATGGTCAAGCGATGGCGTGCTGTCACTGGACAAAGCACTTGGTTTATTCATCTAAGCCCTGGCTCGAGAATCTGGTGTGCGCTTACCGGACAGGGTTGCCTCGCCCTGAATCCGTGAGATCGCACCGTCAGCACCCGTCAGATGATGGAAACCCGATAGCGACTGTCTCCATCACCAATCTCTGCACACGTGTCAATTGACGTTCGGCTGCAAGGAAGAGGGGCGAGCATACTTGCATGTCGATTGCTGCCGAGTGACCAGCGTCAAGGACTTCTTGATGGTTAGCCTTTCCTTCTTGCATGATTGCATCCAGCTCTTCCGCCCTCTTGCCTCTGAGCAAACTGTCATCACCTCGGGGAACGGGTTCCAGAACAGCCTTATTAGTCACGAGACTCAACGCTAGGACTCGCACGCCGCAATGCCTCGCAACAACTATTTCTGGAATAGTGGACATCCCCACCAGATCGGCGCCTAATCCACGGAGCATGCGGCATTCTGCTCTAGTCTCATAGCTGCACCATTTTAGCTGTGTAAACGGATCATGGATTTACACCGCTGACCTTGGTCCGCCAACAAAAGCATATATACCCTCGTGGAGCCTCCTCTGGTTGCCCGATAGATTTATGGTGGCCCAAGCTTTATGGACATGGCGGCGCAGGTCGAGATCGTAGGCATCAGATAGTGGAGGGAAACGTGGACCGAATTCTTCAACATTGGGTCCTCTTAGTGGATGAGTGCCTGCCAGCCCAGAAAGGAATAAATGCTGTACACCTTTCAGAATCAGCCAATCTTTTCGAGCATATGGGTGCGTCCACTGACGTCGTTGAGTAGCACAATGTCGCCCACCATATAATCTGGATTCAAGGCCCCGGCGGCATTGGTTACTATGACCAATCGATCGTGTTAGTTTCGAGATATGAATGGCAATCACTCCTGCCGTACCCTCTATCTGCCTGAGGGGAAGGGAAAACTGACAGATCATTGCGTCAATGCCAAGTAGCTTGAAAACGCGTACAGGAAATGTAACTCGATCCAAAGAATGGCCCTCGTAGTAACTGTTAACAGGTCACAGTCAATGAGCAATCCATGCGGTCATCGAATTTGACGAGGATGGAGGTTTCTCTCACTGAGCTCGGCCCACCATCAACACTGCAGGGACCTGCCCATTTAGGCATCCAAAGACGAGCTTTCCTGCGTGACCGGCCACTTATGAATGCAAGGTAAGCACTGAGCCTAATGTCATGACGAACTCGTGCAGCCTGAGGGTTACCTGTTAATTGGGGAAAATGAGGGACGGATTTGAAGTCAAATTCGGCTCGCGGCTGGTCGTCAATTGTGCTGGCGAGGCCGCCCAAGCCAGAGCCACAGATTATAGCAATGCGAGGAGCTTGCAATGGAGATGGCAAGCGATCTCTTAAAAAGCGAGCTGTTTCACACGCTTGCTCATATGAAGAATGTGCCATATTCTTAGGTCACCAAAACACTTCTGAATAGCACGCTGGGGAAAGTGATAAGTCACAGCTGCTAGGTTAAGAAAGGCGGCCAAGTCACTCCGTAAAATACACATACATAACACAAATTGTAAGTTGGTTGTTGAACAAATGAACTATTACTAATTTAAGGCAATGGATTACCCCTCTCTGGACGCGTAGAAAAGAGACCCCAATAGTGAAAGTGCATTGTTGGCAGCCACGAAATAGATTTCGAATATAATTAGTACTACATTTCATCATGCTATTCTAGAGACGTGGAAGTAATTAAGTCTTTGTCAAGATACTGTTAGCTTACACTATTTTTGTCGCCATAATCTTTATTACGTCCATCCATGTACGGATAAGTAAAAATATACTGGTGCATGACGTTGGTTATAGCTTGGAACTGATTACTAAGCTATGTACCGGTCATCAACTCATGAATATCATGTACTGTCCCAATCAAGAGGATGAGTTCATCAATAATTAGAAGATGGGCACAGTATATACACCTACCCAATAGTATACAGGTTTCCCTTCGTACTGCTAAACCACCAGATACATTGATCCTTACCCCTTCTATGCTAGCTATGTGTAGAATTTGAATTTCCTGTACCAATGCTCACTTTGACCACTCTTGAACAGGTCTTTCTATTCTCAATCGTCGGGTGTCCCATGTGTTCAGGCACCTGGAAGCTGTACGTACTTGTTGGTGGTCATCAGGCAAATTGTATCTTAGCTGACAGTTCTAGGGAACCAGGGGATGGCTTTCTAACAGGACCGTACTTGTCATTATCAGGCTAGTCGCGCAAAACAGGAAGCCGAAGAAGTCTAACCCAGTGTAAGCAGGTTTATGAAAACCAGAAGCTATGGGTGTACACGTTGCTGCACTGCCTGATGCCACCGGACTATATACTATTGTAGAAGCTTCGCCTTGCTAGATATTACTGAACTTTTTGATGTCCAGAGTATTGCTAGGTGTAGGTAATATGGTTAGGTAGAGCCTGCATATAAATAACTAATCCGGTTTGGCCTCATTGTCAAATCTCACGGAGAAGGGGTAACAGGCCAATGGTATAGAGCTTCACTATTGACCAGCTTTTTGAACAAAACAGGGTTCAGTATTGATGTCAAAAACCCCGACTACAAATGAAAGGGTGAAGCATTATGAAACCATGTACTTTGCATTTACAAATGCATGCCTGTAAAAGACTGCTAAAGGACTTGTGTACGTATGATTTCCTGGAAAGAGGAAGTAGGAGAATAAAAGAAAGAAGGTGACGTGCACAGCCCTTTTCCACGATATGGAAAGATTACTACTCTCCAACTAAGGAAGGCGTACCTTGCAAAAGCACCAACATTAATAAGACCTTGGTACTGTGATAAAAGCAGTCTTTTCATGAAAGGAATATATGAGACAACCACAGTGATATTACAGTAGTATTCTGGAGTATCGGTGGCATGTCAAGTAATTTAAAGTTTTTGCGTAGTAACCATACTAACTGTTAAACAGATCGATACCTATTGCTCTAGAATATTTCAAAATGTAAGTCTACTTGTATTAGTACTTCAGTTCGTTGCCCAGAGCTTGCTTATAACGAGTATAAACGCGAGGAACAAGTAATCATAGTCGGGGCTACGTGGAATCGATAAGAGCAATCTTCAGGAAGCCAGCATTGTTTGCAACGATTGAGTGACTGAATATCGGCGGGGATTGGGGGGGTATATGAATCCAAAATGTTAGCCCGTTAACTGAAGCTCGCTAAAATATTGAAGATCGAGATTGTCGTTATGGATGCACTGCTGAGACTACAATTTTTGAACTCATTTTTGTCATGATTGAAATAGTCAGTGTTAACTTCAGATGACAGAGGGAAACAGCATCTATGATCGGCGAGTATCAAAAATTTAAACGCTCTCAAGAACAGTTTCCTTGAACTCTCTCTCAACCTTTTGGCCCTTGTCATCGGTCGTAGACTCTCCGTGCAAGTTAAGCAGCGCGCCGAGGTCGAACTTGGGGGACTTAAGAAGCTTGACCTTGCGGATGTGGACCTAGTGCCTGGTTAGTAGACTGACAATATTAGAGAACCGTGTCGCTAGACTAACGTTCTGCAGAGGATAGATGCCCTGGGTGGACTTCTCGATCTCACGACCAATAACCTCGGGAATGAGCTTGGTGGTGAGCTGGGCGAGAGAGCAGCTGGCAGCTTCGCGCTGGATGATCTCGGTCATCTTCTTGCGGATAGCACGGATCTGGGAGGAGCGAGCGTATGTGGTCTTCTTGATCTGATTGGGGCGTCTCTTGGTGAAGGCAATGGCGAACAGACGAAGGAGATAGTCGTCGGTGGTCTTAACGGTGACATTGGCCTCAATCAAAGACTGCCACTTGCGTACCAGGGAACGGAGCTTGTCGGTGGTGAAATCCAATCCGTGAAAGTTGGTCAAGCAGTTCTTTCCCTGGATTTCATCGACACGGAGCTTGACCTTGCGGAAGGCGTGATCCTCATCGTTCTGAAGGTCGGCAAGGGAAACCTCGACGATGCGGCCCTTCAAGGAGTCGTTGGCGTTCTTCAGACCGCTGGTGCGGTTGACCAGAGTCTTTCCAACACTTTATGAAAGCTTGTTAGCGTGATTGTCGTATACCCGAGGCCACGAGATAAAGGTTGCACGAGAGAAGGTAATGAACGGAACGTTGGGGTCGCAGCATACTCTCTGATTTGGAAAGTTGAAGGAGCCTAATTGCGATCAGTTCAGGTCATAGCGCTACCATTCAATGCAAAATAACTCTACCTTCAAGGAGTACTCGTCCTTTCTGGAGAAGGGATCAACGGTTCTCTTCTTGATGCCCTTCTTGCCCTTCGACAAGCGCTTGTTCCTACCAAGCGATCAGTTACTGAACGTTCGAAATGGCAGTCTTCTGTTCGGTAGGTTGAAAGGGGAGGTATAATTTCGCATACTTTCCGACGGCCATAATTGCGACTCAGGTCTATCCCGCAACAGTTGAAGACAGACTGAAATATCACACCAAGCGCACTGGTGGAGGGAGTCGATTCGATTGTCGCTGGCTTGCTGCTCAATCGCGGAAAAGTGTAGAAATCCAAATCCCACAGAAAAGTCAGCTAAGCGAGCCGTCGGCCCTACCACCAAATTACATAATATGCTTCCCCACAAATATACCGATTTAGTCGTCATGATTGGCTCCAACCGCTCAAGCACGCGTGACTTCGAGTCCAGTTTCCATAGATCTACGGAGTATAATAACTTGTTATTAGAATAATCTGATAGAGCATGTAGTCTGTTGCAAAGATCTATCTAATGTCACTATGTACAAATGTAAGCTCTAGGCTCTTCTCTTCAAATCCCGAATTAGTCCCTGACAAAATGTGTATAGTTATGAAAGGCAAATCTGACAGGGCTGCTATCTTCCAGTGTTCTCTGCCTTCTGTAGTCATATTTTAAGGGTTCATCTCAATGGAATGCCGATTATGCAGAATATGCACAGCTCGGTACAAGTAGGATGGCTGTCACTTGCTGTTAGTATGTACAGTATGTCACAGAGACATACAAAGCTACCCATGAAATAATCTGAGACCTTTATTATCTGCACTCCCCGCAAATAGAAAAATTAATATACAGTTTGCTACTTAAGTGCCTGGAGATACAGTATAATGATTCACAGCTACTCCGTGGCTTTTGTTGAATGATGTTCTATGTACCGCAAGAAAGATTGATTGAGAAATGTGTACAGAGTACTCCGTACTTTCTTCCTTACCAGCTACATGGTGTATTTTCAACTTTACGGAAAAGTTACACATGGGCAAGTGGTCCGGGTGCTGACATCAGATTACCGCCGGCCCGTGACCATGAACACAACAGGATTAGAGTGTTCATACTTTCTAGCCTCGCACCATCATAGATCACAAAAGGTTGAATCATGGTATGTTATCTGAACTCTTGGTAATAATGGCAATAATGCTAATGCTCGCTTTGAAATCTAGGGTAAGCGAAAGAAGTCGAGCAGGCAGCCTCAACAAACACGAAAGGTGATTGATGCGCTCGGTACCTATGACCTTCACTGTTTATTGACTCGCGACAGAAAGAACCACTTGCCACCACATTTGCATGTCTGTTTTGCAACCACGAGAACTCGATCATAGTAAAACTGGACAAGAAGCTTGGTCTAGGAAACCTCACTTGCAAAGTGTGCGGGCAACGATTTCAGACAGGAATCAACTGTGAGTCCGCCTTTCCCGGATCGTCCTCGAGGATGTCGGCCTGCTCATCTCACGCTCTAGACCTCTCTGCCGCCGTTGACGTATACTCGGACTGGGTGGATGCTTGTGACGCGGTTGCCAAAGACACTGCCCACAGATACGAAGAAAGTGATGCCCGCGTCGGACACTCGAATGACTTCACTGCTTCACCCAGTGCTCGAAACCTCAATGCCGATGATGCGGATCCTGGTGATGAATATGCTGATGATTATTGACGTGCCTGCGACAATTGGCAGGAAGTAAGAATCAGATCTACCTTGCTCTGGTTCACATGACTCCTTTAATGCCTACATACCGCTAGATTGAGTGTAATAAAAGTAATGTCATTTAAAGAAGACTCCCTCGTGACCTCCCCCATGCACCTGTTAACATCTTACGAGTACAAATATCGATCTAAAGTGTATAATACCTGTCACCAAAGTCACCCAGCCCCGGAATGATATATCTAGCGGTGGCGGTCAGCCGGTCCCACCTTTCATACTGTAGAGAATGCGCGACACTTACTTTTTCTCATCCAAACCCTGGTCTATAAATGCAGTTACTACCCTGAGCTTGGGAAATCGTTCTGCGAAATCCGCGACTCCTGATGGACTTGCAATAAGATTGAGAAAGAGTATGCGATCTTCAGGAACACCCTTCGCCTTGAGAACTTCGACCGCAAGCGTTGCAGAGCCGCCTAGCAACAATTAGGTCGAGCCAGCCATGTCGGTGTGTCGCGACTTACCGGTTGCGAACATCGGATCCAGAAGGAGTACCCATCGATTGCGTATATCATTTGGAAGTTTCTCATAGAAAAGTTTTGGTTTGCAGGTCTCTTCATCCCTTTGGATCAGGATTTTGCCGATACGCACAGATCGGCAGCAATCCCTTAAGCCTTGCTCCATGGCTTCCCCTGCCCTCATTATCGACACGCCGCATATTTTGCCCTCAAACTTAACTCCGAGGTAAACCCGGCCTACGGGTGTAGTGACCGATTGCTCGACCACTGGTAGATGGTTGAGACCTTCCTCGACTAGGAGGCGAATGATTCTGTTAGAATAGAATATGAAGTCGGCACGACAAGTTTGCTTGTCTCTGATCATACTGTCAAGAGGATTAGCCCATCACAGTACAGGACGGAGGCAATGCTCCAAAGGATTTTTCAAATGAGTATGCCATTTCTTACGTCAGAAGAGCAATCAACTGAGGGGTCTGGGGAAGGACATGGACATTCTGGTAGCATATATCCTTGGAGACTGTTGCTGTAGGCTTTTCGTCCTCTGGTCTGTAGAATGGTCCAACACCCTGTGCGGGAGAAGGTACAGGTTCGAGGTTGTTCCTATTATCCATAATTCAAGGCTTGACTATGATTCTGCAATAAAGCCAGAGTGTGAAAGCGGGGAAGGGGAAGGGGGGAGGGGGCAATAAGGAATTGGTTCTAAGGTCTGTGCTCGGGACTAGTATCTGCTGAAGTCGAAATTGGCAGTAGAACTATATTCTACTAAGACTAGTTTTATTGCTCTATGTGAAAGCTTATTTTAAAAATTTTAATAAAAAAAATATTTATTTAATTTTATTAGCTGTATATACTGTTTATATATACTATAATTATCTAGTATTTATAATAATAATAAGCTAAATTAATAAAGTACTATAAGCTTTAATTAAGCTAAAAAAAATAAACCCTATTTAAAAAATTTAAAAATTTTAAAAATATTTTTTTTAAAAAGTTAAAAAGCTATTTTTATACTAAAAATATAATTATATTATTATTCTAAAAAATAAGAAATCTCTGCTGTTTAGTTTTTTATATAAAATATTTTAAAATAAATTATAAGCCTTATAAAAAAGCTTAAAAAAATTTAAAATTTTATATTAACTACTATATTTTAAATATTATTTTTATAAAAAATAAATATGTGCTTCCACTTATAAAAAAAATTCTAAATAATCTAAAAAAAATAAAATATTTAATAAAAATTAATATTATTAGTACTTTTAATAATATTAGAATTAAAAAAAATTAAAAGTATTTAACTATATTTTAAATCTGTTTAAAACTGTATAAAATACTAGTAATACTATTTAAACTAACTAAAGTTTTTATTATATGTTAATAATATATTAATAATATTTTAAAATTATTTTAATATATTTTATATTATTTATTTAAATAATATTCTAATTTATAGCTGTATCTGTAAAAAATACTTAAAATATATTTACTATATTTTATAAAAATTAAAAAAAATAGAATTTTATACTAAATTATTTAAATATAAATTTACTATATTTAAAACTAAGTTTCTAGATCTAATTATAAACTATAATAAACTTTATATAAATTAAAAAAAAATAAAACTATAGCTAAATAGTTTATTCTAATTTATATAACTAATATATAAGCTTTTTTAAACTTTTATAACTTTTACTACTAATTTATTTATAATTTTTTAAAGCTAACTACTCTACTTATATATTTAATAAAAAAATATTTTATTTATATAAACCCTAGATTGCTAAAAAGTATTTAATATATTTAAAAATATTTTTATTAAAATATTAATTCTGTAATTATTTAACTAAACCTATAATATTATTTTAAAAACTAATATTTTTAATTATATATTAAAAAAGTTCTGTTTTAGTATAGTAATAATAAAATACTATATTTTATTATATACTTTTTTAAAAAATATACTTTTACTAAATATAATTATAAAATTTATAATAAAAAATTATTTGCTATTATCTACTACTTTAAAAAATAGTAATCTAAGCTAAAAAAAAAATTATTTTTAATTTAAATTATTATTAATTATTATAATTTAAAATATTTTATATTTACTAAGCTATTAAACTACTAATAAGTCTAATAATTTAAATTTTTATTATACTTTAATTTTAAAATTATTTATAAATTTAAAAAATATAAAATTAAGCCTAATAGTCTAATTAAAAAATTAAATAATTTTTTTAAAAAATAAATAAATATCTTCTATATTAAAGCTAATTAGTTTTAAAATAAAAGAATATTAATTTTATTTTTTTACTAATACTATTTTTAACCCCGCCAAAAAGTAAAAATAATGGAAAAAAAATTTTTTAAAAAAAATATATAAAAAATATACGGGAAATAAAGCTAGCATTTATTTTATATATTTAAAAAAATATAATATTTAAAAATAAATAAAACTTATAATTTTTATTTAAAATATAGAAATTTTTCTATACTATATATAAAAAAATAAATAGATTAAAAAAATACTAAAAGCTTTAGCTACTAATAAAAACTATTATTAAAATATATTACTAGTATTATATAAAAAAAAGCTTTTTATTTTATAAAAATTAATTATAAATATTTAATAATAAATGGATTAAGGCTAATTTAATTAGAATAGTTTATAATAAATCTATTTTTAAATATTATAAAAAAATTTATATATATAAGCTACTAGTTTAAAAATACTACTAGTCTAATATATACTAATATATAAAATAATAAATAAAAAGCTGCTATATCTACTAAAAAGTAATTTTATTTAAAAAAATAAAATAAAAAATTTTAAAGTTTTTATTAGTATTTAAATAAGTATAGTAAAATATATTTATAAATTTTATTATATATTTATTTAAAAGCTAAAACTATAATATTATTTTAATAATTATTAATTATTTAATAAAAATAAAATATTTAATATTATTTAACTCTACTGCTAATACTACTGCTATTATAATTATATATATTTAATATATATAAAAATTATATAATCTGCTTTAATTTATTTTTAAAAATAAAAAACCCTAGTTTATTTTTAAATTTTAAAAATATTTATAATAACTAGATATTATTAGTAAACTTTTTATAGTATATTACTCTAAAACTAATAGCTAAACTAAAAAATAAAATATAATATTTAAATAATATTTTTATATTTATATAAACTATTTATAAAATAATAAAAACTAGTATTTTTTTAGCTAAATTTACTTTAAATATAATCTATTTTAATACTATTAAAACTAGTTTATTTTTTATAAACTATAGTTTTTATTTTTATATAAATTTTAAGTCTATAGTAATTCTAAACAGCCCAGCTGCTAAAAATATAAACTAGTTTTCTATAAGAATAAAATTTATTATTAAATTTATTAAAATAAAAATATCTACTATTTAAATCTAATATATAAAATAAATAAATTAATAATATAAGTTTATAAAAAAATTTAAAAAAAACTTAAAAGTATAGTTAAATATTTAATATATTAAAATACTAAGATTTAGTAAAAAACTTAATTAAAATATTTTTAAACTATATAAAATTAAAAAAGTTATTAGCTTATATATTTACTAACTAGTTTTATATTTTAATATAAAAATATATTTTATATTTAATACTAGTCTACTTATTTTTATTAGTAAAAAACTAATTTTAAAATAGTATTAATCTTTACCGCCCTATATAAAAATTAATAAATTAAAAAATTAAAAAATTAAAAATATTTTAAATTTTATATAAAACTATAAAAAATGCGGCTGTCTTTAACAAATATATATTATAAAATAAATTAAATATTTAGATTTAACTTCTAAACTAGTTTAGTATTTAAAAAATATCTGCTAAATAGTTAAAAACTTTTATTATTAATATTTTAATAAATTATAATATATATTTTAATAAAGCTTAGCTTTAAAAAGAAGGTATACTATTATAGTATAAATTTAATATACTTATTTTACTTATTTTACTTATTTTATTTATTTAATTTATTTAATCTATTTAATTTATTTAATTTATTTTATTTTAATAATTTATTTATTTTTTTTAATTATTTTATATATTATTTATAATCTTTTTAACTATTTATTTATTTCTAATTTTATTTATAGCTTTTTAAACTATATTTTATTTATAAATTTAAAAATAATCTAATTCAGTAGCTAATAAAGAATTTAGAAAACTAGTTATAAAAAATTATTTAGCTAAAAGCTGTTATTTCTACTACTCAGCTAGACTAAGAACTAGACACCAGCCCGCCCCTTGATATAAACTAAGATTTCTTATTAAAGATAATAGTATTTAAAGATCTAGTTTAAATATAAATAAATTTAATAAGTAAATAAACTATATTTTATATAGTTATATTTTTTATATATAAAATTAATACTACTTGTTTAAAAAACTAGTCTACTATTATATATACTATATTATATTTTTATATATTTTTTAATAGTATATATAAATCTATAAATATATATTATTATAGTTAATTAATAGCTAAAAGTAGTTAAATTAGTTTTTATAGTAGTTTTTTTAGTAGTTTTTATACTTATAAATTATATAGTTATTTAAATATTATTAAATATTTTTATTTTAAATATTTTAGTAGTAATATTATTTAATTAGTTTAAAAGTTTTTATTTATTTAAAATATATAGTTAATAGCTAATAATATATTTTATTTAATAGTTTAATTTTAAGATTTTGTTTAGTAGATACTACTAGGTATTTTTTATATAGTAATAATCTATTTTAAAAAAAATAAAAATTATTTAAATTATTAGTATTTTATTACTTTTAAATACGTTTATCTAATTTATAGTTAGTATATAGAATTTAGTTAATTAATAATAATTTTTTATTTAAAAAAAATAATATAAATAGTATTAATAGTTATAGAATCTCTATATTTAACTATTTAAAATATAATATAATGTAATTATATTTTTAATTTATTAATTTATTAGTTTTTTTATTATATAAGTATATCTGATAGTATATTTATCTTTTTTAATTTATACTAAATTTAAAAATAATATTTAAATATAAACTTAGTCTATTATATTTATTATATATATTTAATTATTTTAAAATAAAAAAGTATTTTAATACCTTATAGTTAGTAAATACTTTAAAAAAAATTTTCTAGTTTTTTTAATTTTATTTTTTAAATTTTTATATACTAAATAATAGCTAGTATTTTTTTATTATAAATATTATAATCTTATTTAGCAGATATTATAGGTTTTAAAAAAAATAAAATAAAATACTATTAATTATTAATATATTAAATAAAAATTTTAGTAATAGTTTTATTTATAGTATTTATTTCTAATCTAGTAAGATAGGTAGAATTATAATAAATTAGTACTAGTATTATAATTAAAATATTTTTAAAAATTAAAAAATTATTTAATATTTTTATATATAAACAGAGTTAATAGCTAAGCTAGTTTACTATATTTTTTAATAAAATATTAATAAAAATTATAAAATTTAAGAAAATTATATTATATATATAATTTTTAAAGTATTTTAATTTTTAATAATAGTTATTTTTTTTAAATCTATTTATATTTTATTTATTAAAATAATGAAGTCTAAAACTTTAGTATTAATTATATAAAATTTATATTTATAAATAGCAGCTTATAAATTAGCTTTATATAGTTTTTT